GACGACATCTCAGTTGTTCTTGAATCCACAACTCGAAAATGATGTTGAGCTTTCAGTTGACAGATTCCACCCCAAATGCTGAAGAGTTTCAATCATTCATAATCCAGTAATTAAGTGTCCAGTATCAAAATGTAGGCTATGATATTAATTTAACGCTACAGTACTATATCTGCAAGCTTAATCAAACAGCGAATAATACAATCATCACAGTCGTACCCGGATTGGACCTGATCCAATTATCCATCGCGCGCACGTAGGCTCTTTCGTATGGTTCATAAATAGTCTTGTCTATGGACCTGATCCAATTATCCATCGCGCGCACGTAGGCTCTTTCGTATGGTTCATAAATAGTCTTGTCTAAAGGCTGGAGTTTGTGGGAAGTGTGTGGAGGAATGGTCAACACCACAACTCCGCTCGCCTTTGCCTTGTCAACAGCTGTCAGTAAAACGTGGGCCTCGTGATTGTCTAGGATGAGCAATACCTTTCGGCAGTGTTCCCTCTAAGGTGTGCGCGTGTGCGCGCGCACACAGCTTTCAGAGGCTGCGCACACGCATAGATTTACTGCGCACAGACGTATTTCGATGTGATGTAACAATTTTCTCGGTTGGCAGGTTGAGAAAGTTTGTTGTTGGCCCACCCATTACCCGGTTAGAATGCCAAAATCTCTTCATTGGTTTTTGCACAAATATTAGCCATTTCCAAAAAAGTGCGCACACATCAAAATTTCTGCGCACACATACTACAAGAAATTAGAGGGAACATTGCGGCTTTCGGTCGGGCATACAGCGTGTATGCTTAATGAAGTGATCGAGATAGTTGACAAACGTTCCCTCGTTAATCTAACCTGAACTGATGGCCGCAGCGTCAGATCCCAGTGGTGCACCTGGTATGAAGTAATTACGATAGTTCACACAAGGAAATATCATGTAAGGGGGAATAAATCCACCAGCAGCGTTGATCGCATTAACTACGGTTATCGGCTCACCTCTTTCAACCGATGCGACAGAACCGATCTGCTTAACCCCTCTTTTCGAAACAATGCTTTCAGGCTTTTGCACCGTATGGCACCGTCGACCCTGTTTCGTCGACGTCATATATATACTTGTCTTGTGCTTCGAATTTGTGTTGGTCCATTACTTTGGCAATGTTTTTCTAAAACTGCCCCACTGTATGACAATTAAACGCCGTTGCTCTGGCTAACGAAGTAGCTTCTGGACTTCGAATTGCAAGGTTATTGCGTGCTTTCAATCCAAGCCAAAACCCTTGACCAGCTTTTTTGTTGATTTTCCAGTTTTCTGGCACATCAACATCGTTTCTTTCTGCAAACTCATACGCCAAACATCTACATTTATCTTTGGACAGGTCATGGTATAGTTTGCAAGTGTTTTGATGTGACTAGCTAGTTCAGATGTGTACTAGCCAGTTCAAAAATGTAATGAGAAATATTCAATGCAGGAGCGTTGAGCCACAGAGCAACTCTTCTGGTGACCGATAGATCAATCCTCCCATGATTGGCCATCTTCCCATTTGAGCTCCGCTACTGCCGAATGACTGCTCGACGTGCGCGGCAATAGACTCCATTAGAGCATCACAGCATAGACTACAGAATGACACAATGTGACTAACCCACGACCTGTAATAGCATTAATAGTAAACATATTAATTGCGACCATGAAATCCACTTTTTGCTGCGATTGCGGCCTTTTCATTAACTTTTTTCCACCGGAGCTACAGAACGTCTGCTTCTCACAGGCAAATATAAAGTAATGACATAACCTACCAACAGAGGGCGCGCGAGCATTCTATTACCAATGCATGTTGCTAATTCTGGGAGTGGAACAATTCTCCTCGTGGCTCAAGTCACCCGCATCTCCTCTATGTGGGAAATCATTAGCAGAATCAATTGAATTTGTGCACATTTCAGTCTCTTATTGCAAAATCTCAACCAATATCTAGAAAAGAACTAGTACGACAATCGTTATCAATGTCTGATCAAGACTGTTCGATAGATTTCAATCTAGCGATATAAAGTCATGGATATTACAAGCGTTTCTATAGATTTTGACATTTTCTATTGATATAAATATCTGAAAAAGCGGATTTTGCTCGTTGTGTGGACAAGTATAGCAAACAATTATGCTCGGAGAAGGGAAGAAACTGGTTTAAAATGTTTTTACATGAACTAAAAAAGGAGCTTTTTTTCGGGTCTCAGGAAATCTGTAGCCCATTTCGTTGTTAAATTTAATATTGTTATTGTTTATTATCAGTAGTTTTATTGTGGTACTGGGGCTTGCAAGAAATTTGCTTTTCACATTTCTTTCATGATGTTGTTCTCAAACAACGTAATACCATAAACCTTTTTAACGTGTACAGACAGATTCATTATTCGGGAAAATATAAGTCCGATAATTAGATTTGATTACTAATCTTACTCAAATCAGTGAGACCTCTGATGCTGCATTACCGCTGATAAATATTTTACATTGGTTTTATATTTTGTAATTTTCAAAGAAATACACCAACTACTTACTGGTTTCATCTTTTAGGCTACACCAGTTACGAGATTTGATTAAGTTCATAACTGAGAACAGAGATTCAAAAACATATGTAGATGAAGACATGGAGAGTAATGCGATTGCAAAGTTTTTAAGACGCAAAAATCGGGAATGGCATCCCAATCACGCAATAGTTCGTTTTCTGTACTTCCCTCTTGTATTTCCTTCCCTAATCGCTTATATTTAATTCGAAGTCATTTTATAACAGTAAGTTAGCAAGTAACTCTAATCAACATGAGCTGTACAACTTCATAAATCAAGCAGAAATGAAGAAAAAGGGGGGCACAGACGAACTATATTACGTAAGAATGTAGCCAAATGAATGCTGCGCTCTTCTCGACAAAATTTCTCGAGAGCTCACTCATTTGTTACGTCATAACATATTTTTTTGTATCCATATGTCATGAAAGGACAAAAGGAGTTTAAATAAATAACAGATTGTTAACAAACGATATATATAACATGAATAAGCGAACACCGAGTTTCATCAGATAATTAAGAATCTTGAAATTTTTCATCTGAAGAAGAATGATCTCGTTTCTGAGGCCTCGCTCGCGTGCCGAATAAATTGACGTGCCAGGGGTTGCTCACCCCTGACCTAGTCGATAGCAAGAAATCTCTCATACACGTTTTGAATGATTTATAATTACCAATCAATTATAATCCATGTTTTGCTGCTATTTTGAATAGAACGTGTTATTTATAAGTAAATGGATATCGGTTTTTATATTTTGTGGATTCGAAAATCTCGTAATTCTCTACTTTGTAATTTTGATTTGAAAATGAAAACATAAGACATCCCCCGAAAATAAGCCCTAGAGTTATTTTTAAGAAGAAAATTGAAATAAGACCCAGTCTTATTATCGGGGAAACACGGTAGCTTTTCCATGTTCTGTGACGATCCATGCTTCCAATCTCAACGTGGATCGGCTAACAAGCGGTAGCGAAACCGCAACAATTAATTTTTTTAGGTTCCATTACATTTGAACCTACGACAATTGCACCCAGTGATTTCCCTACACCCCCCCCCCTATAGGGGGTGAACACCCCCCCTGAAATTTCAAACACCCCCCCCTAATTTTGAGGTGCGATTCCACACTGTATTTCCTAACTCAAGTATAATTGTATTCAAATATAACGACTATGGCCTATTTATCAGTGTAGATGAGGGGTTCTAAACCGCAGTCTGCGGGCCAATTACGGCTGGCGTGACGATTTAAAATGGCCCGCCGAACTTGAGTGAAATAGTTTAATCCTTCATGTGGTACCTTTTGAGTTTTAGATACCGTCTATTGTTACATCATTATCACAGTTTAAGCACGTTTATTTCGTAACAATTGAATTATACCGGTATCTTATGGATACGTATGAGTATTAGGATTACACACTGCAGTATTTTAGATATCAGCCGTATATTAGGAAAGCTTAAAGATTTCACAAAACGAAAACTAGGCACTGAAAACAGACGTTTTTTATATGAATGACAGCGTTTTTATTTCTTTATTGAAAAGAATCAAACTTCAGCGATTTGTCTTCTTACCAAAAAATATTTCAGTTCTGAAGGAATACAACATTATGATCAGTTGACGCGCGTATTTCAAAATTTAATTCATTGCTTAATTCATACAAAAGTCAAACAAACATGTTCCGAAAAAATGTGAAATGTGTAACAAAACAAGCCATAAGTAGCCATTCATACAATGCCAGATGAGCAAGTAACTTCATTAGTCACTATCAGTTGCAAATTACTTGTTGAAACGTAGTAGTATATATTTACGGTTGAAAGCCGTGCTTGTTTTCTATTTCCCGGGAATTCTATCAGCTAAATATTATAATTTTTGATTTCATTACATAACAAACTGCGATGCCAGGTGTATCTAAAATCAAGCGTAGAGCCTATTTCTCAAAATTTTCTCAGGGCGATTGAGCGCGGCCTGAACCCCAGCCGTGACGTCCCGTACTTTTCCTCGCTCCCCTTTTATGGCCCTACAATTTTATTCTGCTGTGGATTTTTGCTCGCCGTCAATCAACTTAGGGGCTCATTTAGATCGTTTCTTAAATACATACCATTTTTTTAAGAATACAAATAGCCTAGTTTTATCTGTAATAGCAAATTATTCACCACCCCCTAAATTTCGAAACACCCCCCCCTAAAAAGAAAAGCTGGGGAACATACTGATTGCACCTATGGGAATTTCTTTATTTACGAATATTTGAAACCATACAAACCCAAACCCATGGATATTAGCATCCTCATATAGATTGAATCCGCAGATAAACGGATGCAAATGTATGGGTTCTAATGTACGGTCACTCATCAGCGTGTGTGGAGAAACAAGTCACTATGTCATATAACACAATCCCGCATATAATAGTACCTACCTACTACCCATCATTATCAGCAATGTCTGTGGTTGTACTTTACCAGAAAGGCAATAACCATTCTTGGTCCTAGTGCAGAATCTATATTTGAATGACTCATTTGAAAAAGAAAAAAAACACATTCAGCATACAGAAAAGCATAAATACATATATGAAAGAGAATATTTAATGTTCAGCTGAAATCTTTAAATCATTAAAATCTTGTCAATAATTTTTGAAGAGATAAAGTGTGTTATCACGTACTACCGAGTAGAACGGTACCATGTTAAAATACTGTTTGATCAAGAGAATTTATGTAAAAAATATGTATCAGTGTCATTTGATAAATATAAAGTCATACATATTTAAAGCTAAATTTAAAATGTGACTTAGAAATCATTTTAATTATGTGTATTGGCTGAACAGTAGTTTCATAAACCAACAATGTAGATCAAATCAGCAAAGCAGAAATTAATTCATCAATATGTGCAGAAATATCATTGAGATGAATTTTACAACAAAATCATCAAAATAAAATATATTACTTTGATTCATTATGTAGTATATACAATATAAGTAATAAAAACACAGCAGATAAGTATTAAATATGAAACAGAATGGAAATGTGGTCAATATTAATGTGGTTCTAAAGTCTTTAACCTTACCAAAAACCTAAGATTTACATGTTTACTTTACTGTAATATATTTAAATATTCATTTGGTGTGATGAGTTTCAATGCCAACAATCCATACAGAAAGTAACATGAACAGCCATTCCAAGAGAAAAATGCCCAATCAGTTCATGTTAGGAAACCAGTGCTCGCGCAAACTTTTATGTCAGGAATTATATGCTATTATGCTTAAAATATAAATAAGACTCAAAAATTATCACACATACAGTACAATTATTAATAAAGAATTACTATATATATATCAAGAGAGGGGAACTGTTTATGTGCACCAAGCATCAAAAAATAGATTTGATCAATAAAGAAATAAGCACTATGACAATGTATAAACATTTACAAGTTTTGTGCAATGTTAAAATGCGATAATCCAAAAAAGCAGCAAAGTTGTTAAAAAAATTATGAATTCATTCAGAAAAGATAATAAACTTAATTAGTGCTACATTCAAATACTATGCAATACAAAAAAAAAGAATCCAAGTCTATCATGGCAATGTGGCAAGAAAACATGAGATACTAATCATGATATTCAACGTCCAACAATCTCGCCCTTTCCTTTTTCCATATGAAGTCTTGCTGCTACAGCTGTTATAAGAGCGGCACCTTTGCCACTGCCATCATATGAAAGAGCAAACTTAACATTGATGCCACGACCCTCAGTTAACTGGCCAACTTTATGAGCCATGTTCTTGGCAAAGGTTGGATGTTTTCTGTACACAGTTCCATCAACTCCAACAGTAAACTCCAATTCTTCCTTTTCGGGATAATTTGCCCTGATTTTGCGTGCAATGGCGGCAATGCCTGCAGCACAAAGATAGGCAGCTCTTGTAGACACTGCCTCACATACGTATTCAACAATTTCACAATCAGAATGAAGAGCACCAAGGCCCAAGTTATGCAAGATGTTTTGCAATGCAGTGTAACCATTGGGCACATTTCTTTCAATTTGTGAGACAAATGCAGTTTCAAATTTCCCATGCGTCTTCAATGATTCCGAAGCAACACCATCGAATAAAACTTTATCATCAGTCAGTTTGCATAACACAAGTCGCACAAGTTCACCCATATACATTCCACTGATCATTTTTTCATACAGTTGTTTTCCCTTGTTGAGAGATGCGCAATCGACCTCTCTATCATAACCATTTCTAATAATGTCCAGTGCTCCATCATCACCAAAAGCACCCCATTCCATGTTGATGCACATATCTCCTTCATCTCCAGGCAGTAATTCTACATTCTTCATTTTTTCCATGTAACAACAATTACTACCAGTGCCAACAATAAGACCAGCCATACAGTCTCGAATGTCGTAAGCGCAGCTCATGAGGGTCCCCACAGTATCATTAACCACCGCTATTATAGCAACTTTGATATCCCCTCGTCGGTCTATAGCTTCACGCAACAAGGACACCACATCCATACCTTCTACACCTTCAGCACTGAAACCTTTGGTCCAAGATATCAATCTTGCTGTGTCAATTCTGTCTTGTTGACATGGGAATGAAAATGTGAAACCAACTGGCAGTTTAACATGCTTCATATTAAGTCTTGTCAAAAATTCTGCCATGCACTGTGCAATGTGATCAAAAAGTTTTTCACCAGACCCTGTAATAACTTCTTCAGGCATCTTATATATTTGACTGTCCATTTCAGGTTTTTCACCATGTTCAAGTTTCACCAGCAGAACCCTAAAATTCGTCCCACCTAAGTCTAGGGCAAGAAAAGTTCCATTTTCTGAACCGTCTGCCAGAGCCTGAACGAAAGATGGCAGCATTTTTACTTTGGCAGACTCATTGGTGTCTTTTCCCAGGCCTTTCACCATTTCCTCTTCCATTTGTTTAGTTATTTGTTCCAAAGTATCGTCAGAAAGGTAAAAATCTTCCATTGACTGTTTGACATGGAATATCACTGATGGAGTTCGTTGAAAAGCGGAATTAAAGTCCATCTTCGTAGCTTTTGGTTCAGCCATTTTATTCGATTTCTTGCTCATAAGTATAAGTTTTCAAGAATTAAGTGATTCAAAGTTTGATTTAAGTTCGCAGATACACTATCAACTGCTATTAAAGGACCAGCAGTAGTCTACAGTAATTCAATCTTCAAATGCTTCAACTAACTGCGCATCAACGTGCGCCAGTATACAGTAGATACGAAATACACAAACTGCTCTGAGACTTGACGATTATAAGCATTGAAAGTCACAAGATAGACGAGGAACATAAAAGAAACGGACGAGCTGTGAGCAAAAGGAGAAAAACACGTCCGAGATAAGAGATATCAATGCCCATTACGATTTACCTTTTACTACATACATTGTGCCGAACTCTTCTCATTTCTTTTGAACCAATAGCAAGACAGTTACGTGTTCTACGCCTGAGGATTGGATAACATTGTGGGCGTGCGCTTAGGGTGGTGAGTTTACGATATTGCGAAAATCTTCACAGAAAAAAGAACAAGGAGCCTATATGAATATGTCGTCGAGTATAACGTATTGCGCAAACCTGGTGAGTAAAATTAGACCGAAAAGGTCGTCAGATTCGAATTATATGCAACCTTTGTGACGTAGGTAGCATATACATAACCATCGCGTCAAAATGAAAGTTATTTGCATGACGTCATTTTTTACTCAAGCAGACGCAACGTGACAAACTGAACGAACAGAAACCTCGTCGCCAATCGATCAGAAGCGTCTCGAAAATACTCGCTTCCGATTTATTGAGATACTGGGATAGGATTTACATATTTATCCAGGCGGAGAGGAAAGCCGATAAAACGACAAACCACGGCCTCTCGTCCGGTTACAAGTTAAGTTTATTTTTTTCAACCAGTAAAAGCAATCATATAATTATAGACTACAATATTCAAAAAAGAGGTAATCATATATTTTTTCTGGGAAAGGGAAGTCGCGGAGAACCAAAGCGGGTTATCGAGCAGCGACACCCAAGGTTTTTATATCTAGTTAAAAAGATCAGGTAATTTATTTAAGGAACTGTTGTTATTGGCGGTGAGTACACCATGGTTTTGCGAATTATATAACTGAAATATCAATAGAAATAGATAATCAGCAGTCCAATACAAATTTATTTCGATCTTTGGTATACAACACAGAACACATAAAATAAGGGGTTCCATTACATTTGAACCCACGTAAATTTGAACCCGCGACAATTGCACCTGCATGCTATTGCACCTATGGAATTTTTTTTTGTTTTACGGATATTTGAACCCATACTAACCCTAACCCATGGGTTTTAGCACCCGCATATAGATTGAACCCGTGGATATACACATGGGTTCAAATGTACGGTCACCAAAATAAGGAGCATAGGCAATGACGACGGAAAGATCGGGAATAAAAATACCAACAGGAACAACAACATAACGAGAATATCGGTCGGAGACCGAAGACTTATCGATCGAAACTGCGGTTTCGAATCATGACTCTATAGTGACACCGCGTGTCCCAGCGTTAATTAATTAATAACTCATTAATATAATCATGGCTTCTGGTCCGAGATATGATGAATGCGCATGCAAAGTTTGGAGTAGATTCAACCTTGCCTTCTTGAAATATCGCGTTTATCTAACAGACATACAGACAGACAAATACCTATCAGCATACTTACCGATCTCAAGATCGATAAGTAAAAAACGATTCACAGGTCCATTTCGTGTCCAATACTAGCATCAGTCTATCACAGCGAGTTCTATGGTACTGTCTTGTTTCATTAAATAAAGTTTCAACAGCCACTACTAATCATTTTCGTGACATCGCCGAAACAAAATTGCGGAGGCGTTTGAGTGGTTCCCATATCTTAGAAAACTAATTGTTAAAATTACGGAAATACTCGCCAGATGCGATTCCCAATGACATTTAAAATCTTATCTCTTACTGAATATTTAAATCCCTTCAATGTTACAGAAATTCATGTTAACACCAAGGGTCTATCTATGTCGACTACCTAATAGAAAACACATCGGATAGTGTTCTGAATGCTAAGTTCCTAATAGTATATTCTGACAAAATTCAATTGAGAATTATGACATGCTATACGACATAAGGGTGCGAATCTGGTTTTGCCTAGTTCACTCAAACGAAGATCAGGTACAGCGCAATATCGGATTAGTTCAAGTTTTCAAGATCAATACACTTGTTTAGGGCAATTTGTCTTATTTTGCCATACGGAAACAAAAATTTATTTCAAAAGAACTTCGGTATCACATGTCAACTTGGAGTAATTCTCAATGTTCCGAGAACAAAGAAGTTTGAGAAACATTGGTGTATCGTGTGATTATATGAATCAAAGGATTGATGTGATAAGAGTTCGAACCCTCGACTTAAAGAAAATGACAATTATATGCTTTATATAAGGCATACAGATATCTATACATATTCATGTACTGTACGGTATACGGTTACATCCATTTATATGTCTTATTATGACCCTGCATTGAAACAATATCGAATCGTGATATCCCTTTCATGAAACTCCTTTTGTGATTGCCCAATCAATCGACATGGTCCTATTTGGTTTTCAGAAATAATAATACGAGAATATCAGTTGGAGACCGAAGACTTATCGATCGAAGATTAGGGGATCCCCAAAACAGCGCTCTTACTCCATAGTGACACCGTGTGTCCTGTCACTAATTAATCAACAACTCGCTAATTATACGACATAATTCATCAAAAATCAATAGGCTACTGATCCGAGCTATGATGAATGCACATGAGATATCGCGTGCATCTAAAGGACAGACAAATACCTATCAACATACTTACCGATTAAAATCGATAAGTAATAATGGGACATGGAGTGACCCCTATGGATCGTTTTGTCATTTTATATTTTATTTCTTGTTGTTGCGCTTTTCTCATTAACTACTGGACTAATTGCTTTGGAATTTCAAGTGATAAAAAATCGTTGTTGTCGCTAGAAAGCTATTACTTTATTTATTTCAAAACTGTGGGATTTTTTTTTTTTTTCATTTGACGTTTTGTTTGGTAACATCGACAGAATTTGATAATGAAAATTAATCGTAGCGGTCGCGCGACGTCATGACAGCTGATATCCTGCTTGGCGAAAGTTGTTCGAGGAACGGCAGAATACGGTACAGGTACTCTAAAATATTTGATAATACAGGTGTAACTCGAATCGGATTTGGTATTTCAATTCACGTTGAGGCTGGAAGCATGAATTATCAGGGTCCCAAGACCTGGAAAAGATAGGCTACGGGTAAGTTGCCGTGCCTGTTCCACATTTCCAGCTTTGTTCAGGATATGATTTTTGGGGAATTGTGGGTAAAAACATCGTTTTGGCCCACGTGTCCATATATTTGAGCTTTGCTCACAAGCATCCGACATTTATTTCCTATTTCTTTAAGAGGCTGGCCCAGTTAAGTAAGCCGCAATATTTAGTTTTATATTGGCATGTGTTATTTTAATTGCATGTTCAATTTATTTCTTATTTAGATTGTTATTGAATGATATCGATATAATAACTTACCTAAGCAACAACCAGGCTGAGAAACATTATATTTTTTACTATTTCGAACCTTTTTTTTTTATCGAAAACGCGTGTGTTTCAAAGAGTGAAATGATAATTATATTAATCAGTAATGTTTTATTTATCAGTAATTGCGCACGACTAAAAACGGGTATAATGGCGTCAAAAAACCTCGACTTTCGCGTGGAACGAGAGAGGTTACAGAACCGCTACAAATAACTTTTATTTATTTTGAAGAGATCACCACACAAAATGTATATTATTATAGCCAGAGGATTTTGCGCCTGGTCACCTTACAGTGGATTGCTTGATTACCACATGCATACATCTGAAGCCAATCAATGACTGATTTGTTTCACATTGGACATGGACTGGTAAAGATGAGCATTAGTAGATGAATTTTAATTAAAAAAAAATTAAAAATATGAGTTCAGATAGGTGGCTTATAAACAAATAATATAAAAAAATATTCTACAGCAGAAGATTAAAATTCAGCAATTATGATTTTTTAGTAGATATTTATATACTGCACAGTCTTTATTCAGGAGGCTTGGGGTCACATTTCACAGATGGCAATATTTTACAGCCTTAGTTGTATCAATAACATTTCTTAAACTAAGTTAACGTCGTACGCAAGGGTGAATTGAGATCTGTAATGTATGTTAAAAGTGTGGCTTTCTATTAGACCTACTGATAAAATAAATGAGATTCAATCAATTAAAATCGTATATTTGCAAAATTTTCCTTCCTTTTCAACGGAAGGTCATGTCAAGTTGCTAGAAAAACACACGAATACTAACTATTAAAGATACCATAATTTTTTTAAAATAGAGAAACGCTTCAAGATTTTGCGTGTCATCCTTTCGCAGGAGTCATGCTAATCTTCTCTGTATCGTTCCAATTTTTTCGTAAAGTGTTTCAATCGTCCCATTCCAATGTTAACAAATACTACAGTTACTTGCATTCGTTTATCTTGTCGGGGAAAATTTATTTTATCTACTCAACTTCAAAAAATCCTGACCGAGCTTGAAACGTTGTTGCGTGAGATGATTGATATATAGATTTGAAACAATTTTGCGATAGTTCTAAATCTAAAACAATACAACTTTTTTGCAACTTAGAATGGCAACAGTCGGCATAAAATATTTTTAAGTATTTATATCTACATGTAGTTAGGCAATGCAATCTTGTAATGGGAAAAGTCCGAGATGAACCAGTTCCAAATATGGTTCAAAGTACGACTGCATATTGTGGCACGCTTCTGTATCGGCGTAGTCACGTCACTAATTAGCTCGCACGACGAGAAAGCGGAATTATTTTTATAATCGACTTCAGTTTTATTTAACTGAGGTGTTAAACGGCTGGGCGCATATAAAGGTTGAAGTGAATTGGTTTTGCTCTAATTGGGTTCTAGTTCAGTTTAAATATTAGATGTTGCAGTAAATATATGTTGTATTCTCATTGTAATGCCAGGTATGAAATATGAAATAACAACGAACGTTCATCGATGACTCCATATCCTGTTAATTGAGCTAGATGTTTAGATAAATTGTGCACTTTATTATTTGTTTTTTGAGCCCGTGAATACATTTCTTTTAATATAAATTTCAACGATATATATACTCATTATAAAAGCAGGATTATTTCATGAATATTATTTATTTGTTTTGAAAAGTATGTACATGACTATTAGTAATGGCAAATATATTATTCATTAATTTAAATAATTTTATGTGGTATAATTATGTTTAGCACATTTTCGACATAAAAATAGTAGCCTACATTCATCGTTTTCATTTTACGTTGAAAATTTTTCTAAATTACCACATGACCACACACTGATCCAGATAACAGGGCAGAGATATCACTTGCCATCGTGGAGTGAGTGCGGTATTGTCAGGCTTGTCCATGGGGCATATTTATCTGTCCCATTCCCATAGCAATAATGACTGTCCCATCCCATCCCATTGGATTCCCATTGGAATACAATTCAATAAAAATTGTTAAATTTAGGTTTAGCGTCTACTAAATAGGACCACATGTACGAGGAGACATACAAAACAACAAAATTTACGGACTTCGTCAACTTTATATTCATAAATATTATAAATGTATATTGTTAGTGCTGAATGTGTTTTGCTCTTTATATCTAAGAAGGGAGATATGCTCAAATATATGGATAAGAAGTCCATAACGAAATGTTTTACCATCATTTCCCCGAAAATCATACGGTTTTCGTGTCCCATGGAAAATACAAATTTGTACTGTCCCATCCCATCCCATGGGACGTTTCCCATGGGATTCCCGTGGACAAGCTTGGGTACGGCAAAACATTTCCTATAATAGCGAGTGCCAATTCATCAGTAAATATATTTTATTTTTGCTCCGTGTTTGGCTTTAAAACATTCCGTAACGTCGAATGGCTCAGTGTAAGTACACAGTATCATAATGATAATCTTATGCTATATATAATTGATACATTTGAGAGATATTGAAGAAATATTATTTTAGTTTATGATATGTGTATGGCCATATTGATACGATTATGTGTGTCATGGCAAGCGTACGAGATGTAGTGTACATGTGGGCACTAGTAAAATGATTTTGAGGCAATTTACAATAAAACTGTGTCGTTTATATATAAAGATTGCAGTACGATTTGATTGTTGTTTAAGTGTAAAAGTAGATTCGGATTTTTCATTTTTGTAAGATCCGGAATAAAATAAGCAACCGTATAGAAAGGCATTTAAAAATTGCTTAGAATTATAGAATTAATTTTGGATTATTTTCCATAAAGTCCTGAACACGGAACAATAAAATTCCCGGGTGAAGCCTAATCTGTTAAGTTGAAAATAGTTGTGGTGAGCAAAAGTGGTGAAGAGTACAAAAACAATTAAAAATTATGTGACTGTGCCGAAATGCGAATCCCAATAATAGCATCCAAGTAATTATTTACTGCTGTTTTTCTAAGCCAACAAACAAACTAAAAAGTAATAACAAACACAAAAACAGTTTTGGGCGTTGCTTCTTGTGCACAAAATTGGTTCAAATTTAGAATTTTTTCATTTGAAAATTTATGATGTAGCATCGTAAAAATGCTTTTATGTTTTAAAAAAGAAAATATAAATATACTAATTTACCAACAACGAAGCTAAGAACTAATATATTTGTTACTATTTCGAACCTTTCTATATCACAAACACGTTTTTAAAGGGAGAAATGATAATTTTATTAATCAGGAATGTTTTATTTATTAGTAATTGCGTGCGGGAAACGGGTACAATGGCAATAAAAAACTTGCGACTTTGCGTAGAACGAGTGAGGTCACTGAATTGCTACAAATAAATTTTATTCATTTTGAAGAGGTCACCACACAAAATTTCGAGGCGAAAAACGAATCACATAGCGCAGAACGTTTTGAAATAAGCAAAAAAGGAATAAACTTCTAGCAAAAAACAACCAATCATTATCCACTGAAAATTTCAAGCAATTGGCCCCATAGTTAAAGAGAAAAGTGACAAGAATAATACCACCAAGAACACGAGAGCGATGCTCGAATATATGAACACGAAGACAATTCGAAGTAGTACGGGTATGCAATCTGTCACAGTACACTGCCGGTGACGCAAAAGTCACACACGCCACAAGGTGCGCAATTTGATGAAGTCATAACATACAAAAAAAAAACGAAATTCCATGTAGCCTACAGGAAGTTTTGAAATTAACGGAAAGTAAATCCTTTTATGAAAAATACAGTCTTCAACCACTGAAAATTTCAAAACAATTGGTCGAGGAATTAAAGTAAGAAGCAATTTTTTCCTAATGACAAAAAGAAAAATACCAACTAGTAAAACAAAAACATAATTAAGTGCATCCCATACATTGTCCCTCGCAGCGCAAGAGATAAGATGTAACTAAGCATAATTTTGACAAAATCATAGGCAGATGCGAAAGTAATGGGATAAATTTAACGGAAGGGGACAACTTGGATGGTATTTGAAGTAATAATTTGGACATTTAGATGAGTTTATCTATAATTAACTTAAAATTGTTCGTTACGCATAGAATTTTGTATGTATTATTAAATATTTTCAAATAGAACCTCGCGGGCCACATGCGTGCTGTAGGCTGTACCGGCCTGGCCTCGACAAAGAAGAGCATCAGTAGATGGATTTTACCTAAAAAAAACTCAAAAATATGAGTATAATATAGGTCGCTTATAAACAAATAATATACAAAAATATTCAACAGCAGAAGATTGTAATTCAGCAATCACGACTTTTTAGTTTATATTTATAAACTGCACAGTCTTTATTTTAGAGGGCTTGTGGCTACATTTCAGAGATGGCAATAATTTACAGCTTTAGTTGTGCTAATAACATATTTTAAACTCGGTTGACTTCGTACGTAAGAATGAATTTGAATCTATAATGTATGTTAATAGTGTGATTTCTATTAGGCCGACTAATATTAATAAAATTCAATCAAATTTAAATCGAAGAATTACAAAATTGGGTACTCCCGTAGTATGTGTACAAGTTAGGCCATAATTTTATTCCGATTTTCTTTAGCTTAGTTTTATTACGAGTTCGGGGACTGTCTGTATTAGCCAAGTGAATATACCCTCTATCCATAGACTTCCGTCCCTTTACACAACTTGATGTAAAGTAGGCGAACAAAATCAGTTACCTCCATATTGGTACACATACTTCTGGAACGCTCAAAAATTGTCCTGCCTTTGTCAACGAAAATCATGTCAAGTTGCAAGAAAAACACCTGAACATTAATTACTAATGAGAGAGAAAGTGCTTCAATCGTCTCACACCACTGTTCTCCGCTAGGTGCCTCAAGTGTGTTACTTAAATGCGGTCATCTCAATACTTGAGGATATCTAAAACAATTTGGATTCTTTATGCAGTATAAATTTTTAGATATATATTAGTTATTTTTGTGATTACCGTTTGAGAAACAGTTGAATAGTCAATCTTGCATGTGCGCCTCATGGGGTGGGAAGATAATCGACCGTGTTTGACCACAGTGAGTATTTAAAATAAATTGACCGTATTTTACACACGCGCGCTTTTGACCTGAATAAGTTGGATGTAATATGGGATTTACCCAGCTACTACAATTATTTACATTCGTTTATTTTGTCACGAAAAATTCATTTTTATCTACTCAACTTCAAAATATAATGACTGAGCTTGGAACTTCGGTGCGTGAGATGATTGATAGGAGGAATTGAAAAAAATTGCCGAAATTTCTCGAACAATACATTTTTTTACAACTTAGAAAGGCAACATTCGGCATAGAAAATTATCGAGTATCAATATCTACATGTAATGAGACAATGAAATCTTGTAAAGGGAAAAGTTCGAGATGATCGCGTTCAAAATATGGTTCATAGTAGGATTTGGACATTTGTTTTAGTATGAATCTTTAATTTCTACAAAACATTTTTTAGACAATTATAGACGGACACCTGTCTACAAATTTGTACAAAAAGACAAATGAATATCCATTAACATGCTCTAACAATGAAACGTCAAAGTAAACCACGGAATTGATGAAACTAACGTGGTGTAATGATATAACTTTACAGCGAAGTTACGATGGCCCACAGGCACACAATGTGGTTACCAATGTCATCAAAAAATTTATTTCGCAATTTTTGGCAATAGTATCATGAAAGAAAATTATTCAATAAGTACAAACGATCGTGCATATCGCACATAACCTTATCTATAGCCTGCAAAAAGATAAATGAGTATCCATTAACATGCTCTAACAATGAAACGTCAAATTAAACCACAGTATTGATAAAACTAACGTGGTGTGATGATATTAAAAAGAAAGTCATTCAACAAATACAAACGATCGTGCATAACGCACGTAACATTATCTATAGCCTGCTTGTTGTAGCACACTTCTG